GGGCTTCCAAAAGAACCAACAGATCTGTGTTGGAAGAAATGCAGCCAGAGTGCTTCTTGGAGGCCAGGATGGCCAACTTCGTCTCTCATACTTTGGGCATATTGTCAGGAGGGACCAGTCACTGGAGAAGGATATCATGTTTGGTATGGTGGAGGGTCAGAGAAAAAGAGGAAGATCCCCAGTGAGATAGATTGCCAAAGTGGCAGCATCAGTGTACTCAAGCATAGCAACAATTGTGAGGTTGGCTTAGGACTGGGTAGTGTTTCATTCTGTTATGCATAGGGGCACTATGAGTTGGTACTGACTTGAGGGCTCCTACCAATAACAACAACAATAACAACAAATCTTTACCGTGGCAGAAAGCCTCATCTTTCTCCTGTGGAATGACTGGCAGTTTCAAACTGCTGACCTTGAGGTTAGTAACCCAACTAATAACCACTATGCTACCCAAGTTCCTTATATTTATACTGTAAATCTTAAACATACGAAATTTCAAACATGTTAAACACTATTAAACACTAAAGACTGAAGACCAAAAGAGTTGTGGGATGACATCAAGATACATCATACATGAAGAAAGCAAAAAGTCATTGATAAGACAAGAAATAAGGAAAAGGTCTAAATGGATGTCAGAAGAGACACTGAAACTTGCTCTCCAGTGTAGAGATGCTAAACTAAATGGAAGAAATGAGGAGGTCCAAGAGCTGAACAGAAAATTTCAAAGATCAGCTTGGGAAGATAAAGCCAATTATTACAACAAAATGTGCAAAGATCTGGAATCAGAAAACCAAAAAGGAAGAGCACCCTCAGAATTTCTCAAGCTGGGGGAACTGAAAAAAAAAATCAAGCCTCAACTTCCATTATTGAAAGATTCTCTGGGCAAATTATTGAATGATGCAGAAAGCATCAAGAGAAGATGTACCAAAAGGAAATGGTTAATGTTCAACCATTTCAAGAGGTAGCATATGATCAAGAGCCAATGATACTGAAGGAAAAAGTCCAAGAAGCATTGAAGAAATTGGCAAAGAGCAAGGCACCAGGAATTGATGGAATAAAAATTGAAGTCTTTGAAGAAAATGAGGTGGCACAGGAGGCACTCATTCATCTCTGCCAAGAAATTTGGAAGACAACTATCCGGCCAACTGATTGGAAGAGATCCGCATTTGTGCCCGTTTCAAAGAGAGGTGACCCAATGGAATGCAGAAATCATCTGACAATCTCTTTGATATTCCATGTGAGGAAAGTTTTGTTACAGGTGATACAGAAACGGCTACAATCAATCATACATTGACAGAGAACTTCGAGAAGTTCAAGCTGGATTCAGAAGAGGCTGTAGAATGAGGGATATCATTGCTGATGTCCAATGGATCTTGGCTGAAAGCAGAGAATATCAGAAAGATGTTTACCTGTGCTTTATTGACTATGCAAAGTCTTTCAATTGTGTGGATCATGACAAGGTATGGACAACATTGCGAAGTATGAATATTCCAGAACACTTAATTGTGCTCATGAGCGATCTGTACCTGGACCAAGAGGCAGTTGTTCGAACAGAACATGGGAACACTGAATGGTTTAAAATTAAGAAAGGTATATGACAAGGTTGTACTCTTTCACTTTATTTTTTCAACCTCTATGCTTAGCAAACAATCTTAGAAGCTGGGTTCTATGAAGAAAAATGTGGCATCAGGATTGGAGGAAGACTCATTAACAACCTGTGATATCCAGATGATACAACCCTGCCTGCTGAAAGTGAAGAGGACTTAAAACATTCACTGATGAAGATCAAAGAGCACAGCCTTCGGTATGGATTACATCTCAATGTACAGAAAACAAAAATCCTCACCACTGGACCAATAAGCAACATTAT